ATCAACGCCCTACTCAAGTAGTAAGCAGGCGCTGCTCTGTGCTAGCAACGACACTGAAATGAGTTTTTATGTTAGTATTATTTGAGCAGGGCAGGGTAGCTCAATTTGATTGATTTATTAATTTTTTTAGATTACTCAGATTTGAGGTGAGAGAAGGATGATAAGGCATTGAGATAAAAATTAAAAGATGTTGAGGAAAAGATTAAATGCGTTGGGAATAAGATTAAAGATGTTGAGAATAAGATTAAAAAGAATTGAGTTAAATATTAAAGGTATTGGGAAAAAAATTAAAAGGTGTCGAAAATAAAATTAAAAATTTATAAATCACTTTAATTGGGTTCAATTATTACAAATCATTTTTGTTATGTTTGGGAGCACCGAATTGATAATTTGGAAGATTTCTTCCAAGCTCAAATTCAAACAACCAATTCAATGCTTTCAAACGCAATATATATGTTTTTCCATCCAATGATATGGTTTATAAACATCTGTTAATTTTTCTATTTTCTTATCGGTAACTCTGTGCTATAAGTTTGAATCCAATCTTGTATATTAATTAATATAAGTGCCAGTTTATATTCAATTATTAATTGAAAAAGTTTTCTTTCAGTCTCTTAGTCTGCAAAAGAAACCTCTCTATTTTTATTTTCTAAAGCGGGTCTCATCTCCTTTAGACTTTTCATAGAAACAGATGCAAATCCAAGCATAGCAAAGGAAATCAAAAGCATTACTTTGAGAAGTTGGGTCTGATTGGGGATTATTTTCTCTTATTCTTTTCTCTGTGAGAAAATAACCATCACGGAGAATAAGAAGGTAAGTACCATTAGAGAGCACCGAATTTATTTTTTATTTAATAATTTATCATTAATGCCGTTGGGATATTATGTTTCACACTTCAATTACCTTTTCAAAAAATTTGTCTTAAACATCGTAGTTTGTTGTACAGCATGTCCTGTTTATAGTAGAGGATCCTACTCTAATATTATATTACTTGGTACGATTACTTTCAGCCTAGGGTTTTGTTTGGCTTGCAAAAAATCTCTTCTGTTGGTCTAGTGGAAGTGCGGGTGTGCGAGGTACTCAGGAAGTTCCTAGTGAGAGTCCAACCTATATTCCAGATGGAAATGGAATGGATCAGGCGACTGAAAGGAGGTCGGAATGACCACCTTCAAATGTTCTTTTTTGCCTTTAGTGACAAAGGACTTCGAGTTTTTCTTATGGTTGTAAATGAAAGGACTTAACATGTTGGATTGAAAGTAATGAATTGAAGGTGCATGACTTGGAAAGTAAAGTACTGAAAGTTAAGTTGCATTAATGAAGATAATTGAAGTACATTGTGAAAATGTAAAGATAAATGAAATACAATTGTAGGAATTGAAAGATAAATTGAGGTTGCTATAGTTGTGTGTGTTGAGCAGGCCCTTAAAGCTACAACATAATGCCCTATTTATAGAATTTTCTGATGGCAATTACTTTAGGAAATTATATTGATTTGACCAGATTTTGCCTAAGTGTCCCACATACTCCTTGGCCTTCCTATAGTGTTTACACGTGTGGGATCATGTTTTCTCACATTTCTGTTTTTTCAGCACGACTTTCCATTGGACGGGACTAACCACTATTCCACTAGAAATCCTCCACGTGTCTCATGTTTCCAGGTTTTGTGTTCAACTTGCAGCCACGTTCTAATCCACACTATGCCATTTCTACTACTTATTAGCATGACATTCCACTGGAATATTGCATGTTCTATTGGAAAAACCGCTCTTATAATGAAAATTCTGCCACGTGTCCACTTGGAAGTCATGTTTGCAAGTAATTTCTTACCTCTTGGCCTGCCACGTGTTCCATAACTTTCCAATTGCAGTAACTGCTTGCTTCCTTGACTGACACATGTCCCATGACTTTCTACTTGCAGGTAACTGCTTGCTTCCTTGGCTGCCACATGTCCCAAGACGGTTACTTTACTAAATGACATTTTTAGATGAATCCATGTGTTGCTTTATGATTGCATGCACATTTGTATATCACACTTCCATTCGAATCGGCCACAACAACTTTTTATTGGAAAGTGACCGATAATTATGATGTAAGTAGTTATAGGTGACCCTTTTAATAAGTCACGTGTCCAACTTTGATTGATTTCTAGCCAAAGTCGTTAGAAGATAGCGATTTCTACTGGAACTTAGTAAGTACCTTCCATTGGAATGAATTAGGGCAACTTTTCAATAAAAAGTGGTTGATAATTATGGTACAAACAGGTTTGAACGGAAAGAAAGCAACACCCATCTTTGTTTAACGTGTTAAAGCATCCGGAAAGGAGTCTTTGTCATATCAGTTGATTAAAAAAAACAACCCGATATTGGTCATCTATTGTCCAGGCCTATACACACATGCATATATGTACTTGTACTTGCATATGAAGAAAAACCATTAAACTTGAATTTTATAACATTTACGGATAACCTACTTGAACTTGCAAAGAATTGAAACAACACCTTTTTATTTGGTTTTTATTCGTCTCCTTTTTTCCAACTGAGTAATATCTAGTATTAATCAACTTTGTTGCATAAACAAATGCTAAAGATCACGAAAGAAATTTGGTGATTTTATCACAATTGACGTGAATATTTATTTTTGAAAAGAACTAGCCAAATAATTAGGAGTAATGCTACATGTACATGGAGATTTGTTCTTGAATCTGCTGTGGCATAACTAAAAAGATTTGAATGTCCTCTATTTTAATACATATTACACTTTATTCTTTTATGCATTTGTGTTTCCTATTTTAGCAAACTAAATTAATTGTTAACTGAACGAAAATAAAAGAACAAACTATTACACTAGGTTCTTCTCTCTATCACTAATTTTCTTTTCTCTACTAATAATTTTATTATATGTATACGTATATACGTATAATATCCTCTTCTGCACTCTCTATATTTTTCAATTACTCAATATCTGTTGGGTATCTCTTTCAAATTTAACTTTAATTAGAAAATACCAAATCAAAATACAATTATAAAAAGGTTTAAGTGAATTATGTAAATTAGGGTTCTTATTGACGAGAAAGATGTCATTCATTCATGGTAAAAAATATATAGCTTTTAGTTTTAATTATTTTACAATTTGATAGAAGGGGATTCTTATTCACGAGAAAGAGATCACTCATTCATAATAAAAAATTATACCTTCTAGTTTTAATTATTTAAAGATTTAATAGAAAGGTTCTTCAAAGATATATACTAACAGAATTGAATTGAAGTTATTAAATTATATGAGGGTTTGGATGCTATAATGGTAAGTTTTGCTATTTTTTCACTCTTTCCTATATTAATATATTTTCTATATTTCAAAAATTACTTTTTTTTAAAAAAACACAAAGCTAACAAATAAGAAGCCCCATAGTTTAAGATAAAATCACAAATCAAAATTAGTTAAGTATAGCATTTTCCATAATTAAGTCAAAAAATAAGAAAGGGATTATTTATTTTTGAAGTTCTAGTAGATTCATTGTTATCACGGCTTTAAAACATGTTGTGTCATAAAAGGGTGTAGAACCTACATATAATATTTCACCTTTCCCGAGCAATGTGGGATCATAACGCCCTGTAGCTTGCTAGCGCACGCCCACATCACACCCGCCCACAGAGGTCATCATAATCACCCTCCCCATGGACACAACGTCCTTGTTGCCCACACTTCCGGTTGAGTTCTAGCTCTGATACCATTTGCAACCCTTATCTTATCCAAACACAATACCCTATCTAGACACAATATTGTTTGATTTTTGCTCTCTTAGACCAGAGACTTCACAAGGGCCACCCCATTTTGGTACTACCCCAAACCAGAGACTTCCCAGGAGATCACCTATCATAATACTACTCCAGGTTAAGCATGCTTAACTCTGAAGTTCTGGTAAATTTACTTCCATCACAACTTTAAAACGCATTGTATTATAAAAGGATATAGAACTTACATATAATACTTTACCTTCCCCAAGCCATGTAGAATCCTGACACCCTGCAGTCCGCTAGCACTCGCCCACATCACACCCACCCATAGAAGTCAATACAATCTCTTTGCAAATTGTTGTTCTCTCAATTTAGGATTAGTGGTGCGTCTTATTCATTTCTCAATTTAGGGTTAGTCTTTTTATCTTTGCACATGAGTTAAGGTTATACACACGCACACGCGCACGCGCACGCATACATACATATAAGATGAATGGTGATGCTGCAATATGAATGAAATCTAATTGGAAGGTTGGATGGATTATAAATTATAAACAAATTCATAATAAACTCTAAACTAATTTTGATGTTAATTTCTTTACAGATGCTCTTGCATTTGAGTGTGTACTTTGTTATTCAATCTAAAATGGGATTGAAACGATGTAGATAAGGAATCGAAAAATATAAATCATACATATACTATACTTATTCACCCAGTGATAGCTTATTATGAAACCACAGAATTCAGATCCAACACTCATGGCAGGTTTTTTTTGAGCAATTTAAAATACCATTTTAAAGTTAAATAGATGTTTGAGGAATTCAAAATTCACTAGAAGTGTCCAAGGGAGTTTTTTTGTGTGCGCGTGCGGAACTCAAGAGAGAAAGGGTTCTTTTGATTTATAAACTAAATATAATACTTTTTAGTGGACAATCTTTGTACTTTTTTTAAGAAAAAATTATTTACTTACACTGGTTTTTAGATTAGGATAATCTTTAATGAAATGCATAATTTGGAGATGCCTCAGGTAATATCCATTTCTCAGATGGCTATCTGAATGGTTTGACACTCAGTCTAGGGCAGAGACAGTGGCATCTAAGATTATTACATGCATCTTCCATACTGTGGTATGGGGGCCAAATTGGAGGCAGAGGAATCTAACTTAGCATGAGGATTGAAAAACGGTCATTTCTTGCTTCTAGGAAGTGCATAGCTAATCCAGGACTTTGTCCTGCTATTTTAGTTCTAATGTATGCTTCTATAACTTTCCGACACTACATGATTTTCCTTACCTAAATAAATGGTGTCTGCTTACAAGATTAACCCTCGGGTCCTTAAAAACTGAAATGACAAAAAAAATAAAAATAAATAAAAATTCACAGAGCATGTAAGACCAACCACATAAAGCTGCAGATATCATCCTCCCCCCAAAAAAACTCCCAAAAAAAAAAAAAAAAAAAAAAAAAAAATTGTAAATACCAAAACAGAAAAAGAATTGGCATAACACTTGTCATTTAGCAAGCATGGGGATGCTGATCTTGCCATATTGATCTTCTGTTTTCTATATGGTTATAAATTTCTCTTGGCCTGCAAATGTAAAGACGAACACATGAAGAAGCTCAAGAATATGATATCAGCAAAATTCATTTACTAGCAGTAGGTCTCAGAATCTAACGAAAGAATAACATAAGAATAACATTTACCATCAACATGATATGGAGAATGTAAAGAGGACCTTAGTTCCGGTGACCAACACCAAAGTGAAACCTCCCTGCTTGCTTATCGTTAAAGGCATATTCAAGTCGCAAAGGTCCCAAAGGAGAATCCACACGCATACCAATGCCATATCCATGTCCGCTTCCAGGCTTTAGCCTAGCCCCAGCAGGATCACCTGATAATAGATGTGTAAAGTTGTATTATAATCTTTGTTACATGGATTCTTCAAAAGTACTAAAGTACCCGTGTCGGACACAATATCCCTCAGACATGGGCATGGAATATGCGTCCGACACTTTTGGTTGGACATGTACTTAAAAAGCATAGCCAATCATTCAATTACATTATATTATTACTTTAAAATGAGTTAAATGCCTATATTGAACATTATATTAGATAAAAACATCACTTTACTCCAGAAAATAAAATAAAATAATTAATAAAATGAATATTTAGCCGTGTCCGTGTGTCCTTCTGTTTGGAGATTTGGCTAGTCTAACTCATGGATACACACCTGTGTCCGACACCTGTATCCGAGTCCATGTAACATAGATTATAATTATCAAAATTAAATAGAATGTGAACATAAAAACTCCCAAGTATCACTTATACAAAAAAAATAAATAAAAAAAAAAATAAAAAAAATAAACCATATAAGTAGCAAAAGTAATTCGATCACGATGACCTCACATTGTACATGGGATCCAACAGTAATTGTTCCGTAATTGGCAAGTTGTTTCAATTAGATCAGAAGAAACATTCTGCTACTTTGCACTATACTATATAACAGCAGATCATAGGTGACGCTGTTTATTCGAGGTTTCCTGTATCATCAATAGTGACCTTGTTTCCCATACATGCATGGGAATGAATTTCATTCTTGGATGTAACTTTATATATAGTTATCTTCCTTTACAGTTAAAAGAAAAAAACCATTTCTTTAACTTTAAAAGATCAAACAGTTGTTGAAATTCAGATTCAAGAAAATTTAGCTTCTGTTTGTAATGAAAAATTCTCTCCCCTAAAAAGAGAAAATACTAATTTACTTGTCTTAACTGATATAAATCATCCCTAAGACACTAATGTGGCCTTCCATGAAGTCACAGAACTTAAATGAAACGAAAGCGGAAACAAAGGTCAAAACGGGCAAAAGTCTTGTTCAACTGTATGCTCCAATGAAGAGCGAGTTCACTCAAGGTCAGATACATGGTATAGGGTGGCTTGTCACTCAAAGATGGAGACACGGACTACAAAGTGCATTTGCATCTACAGGTACATGCACTTTATCTTTTTGCAGGAGTTTATTTCACCTTAAGTATTACATATTCATCATATTGGAGAGGTAACCGTAAAAAAGAGAAACATACCAGGAACATTCGGACCAGATCCAAGATCAGTTCCATAGTCAGCAAACATAACCCCCTCCACTGGGCCCAACTGCAATAAATTGGAAAGATAAGTGGGTATAAATAATTTTGAATGAACAATTAAAAAAAAAAAAATAGATTGTGATAACCATTGAGTCCTAACAATCTTGTTAATGGATTCTAAGCAACATGAATCATATTGTCATGTCGATTTTACCAAGGCCAGATCATTAACTCATCCCCTAACTATTCTGTCCCACCCTTCCACCATGACAATTACCATGTTAAGTCCAGCAAACTGAATTAACCTCACTTCTTACTGCAGCTGTAATATGATTTCTCTGAGCATGAATGTTTAAATGCTCAATGAATGGTTTCTTAATTCCTATAAAAATAGTAACGTTCAAGAACGCTCAATAAATTTAGAATGGAATATCAAGAAATTGGACACAGCCTCAATAACACTCAATAAATTCACCATCAGAGGACAACATCAGCTACGAATTGTTCATAAACATGAAAACTAGTTTGAGAAATATCTCCTCCCATGCCCAAAGAGGGAGGTATAAAGTTTAAAGGCCAAAACTGGGATGTAGGAGTATGTTATACTTGTCCAAAAATAAAAAAGAAATGGAGAACGAAAAAAGAAATAAGAAAAGAAAGAAAAAGAACAAAAATGTCAGAGTGGACTCTATCTCCAGTATTTGCAAGTATATATTATCAACATCTCAATTTCCAACATCTTTGAGTAACTATATGTTTCAACATCCATATCCGAATGTACAAATACATATTGACATATCAAAACAACCAGCGACACCAATGGCATCAATATATTAACGAAAATATCATTATACTAATTTATGTTACAATAGAAAATATGAATTGTCAATATCATTATGTTAATATCATTCACCAAATTGTACTTATCAAAAAAATATATCATTCACCAAATTGTCAATAATCAGTATCATGAAAACATTACTGGATCATTAACAAAATAGAAAGGAAAAAAAAAAAATTTGTCAATATCATTCGCCAAATTGTGAGGGATTTCTCACTAATTTATGTCACAATAGAAAATATGAATTTCCCAAAAATGACCTATTATTCAAAGAGGTTATTCATATTTCGAAAATCTAATGTTTTTAATAAAAATAACAGTATTTGGTTAGTGTGTAATTACAGTGGATACAAGAATGAGAATTATGGGATTTGATTAAACTGTAACTTTAAACTTAAAAAATCCTTTAAACAATAATGTGAATATTGTAAAATTGCATTCCGCATTAACAGGTTTTAATGGTCGCTGTGGGGATGTCAATGATATTATACTAACTAGAGTGGAGGTTGGTGTAATTTGTCCGTCCTTACTTTTTTTCCCATATATATACACATACATACTTTGTCCGTCCTTACTTTTTTTCCCATATATATACACATACATACATATGTACACATATAACATTCACTATATAATTAAGGGGTAACCCAATGCACGAGGCTCCCGCCATTCCGGGGTCCATGGAGGGTGAGATGTATGTAGCCTTTCCTACGCATTTACCATATTTGTTCACTTTTCACAATTTAATTACTTCATATCATTTTATTCTGATCAATTTTTATTTTTCTTCTTACTAAAGCACCAACATTGCACGGAATAACCACTCAAGAGTATAATATCACAAATATCATATAAAGAATTAACCCACTAGTACTACATTTACATAAATAAATAAAAAAAGAAAAAGAAAGAGTTCAACTAGTTCATATTTTGTTATACCATTTTTTTTTTTATATAATCCTGGCAAGCTCACGGGCACACCCGCTTGGGGAGTTGGGTGTTCTACCAACCAGGCCACTGCGTAATGCCCCATATTTTGTTATACTAATGAGCCAAAAGTAAAAAGTGGTTGACCAACTTATATGTGCAAGCATACACTTCAGAAATTATACTAATGAGCCAAAAGTAAGGGCACAAAAATTATCAACAAAATGAGATCTGCTAAGACGTTGCAAGTGATACCCAAAACAGGAATGATTATGAATGTACATGTTTAAGAGTTATAGAGCATATTTCTTTGTATGGCTTCATATATTGGCAACAAGAATCCATCAAAACTCAATTTCATCCAAGACCATGACTTATGTCAAATTGTAGGAAATTCATTGTCATGCAGCCTCAACTCATGTTCCCAAACAAAGCACTTTCTTAACCTATTATTTATTGTCTTGCCAGTCATCCATCTTAACTGCCCCAATTCTACTGAGGATCATTTTCTAAATACTTCTTTTACTGCCAACCATTGCTAGAATTAAATTCAGGGTACATATGTTTTTCTCCCAGTTAAAGCCTACAATTATGGAGTGTTGACAACCATTTACTCCAAAAGCTTAAGCTGTTAGAGCGGGTGAAACTTAAATATATAAATCCTTCAACACGCCCCTTCACGTGTGGCCCTCTTTTGGCCCAACACGTGTTTTTCAATTTTTAGATAGTGAGGTTTGAACTTGAGACCTTTGGCTCTAATACCATTTTGACAGCCATCTACTCCAAAAGCTTAAGTTGTTAAAGAGGGTGTAACTTAAATATATAAATCCTTCAACATGGAGAATGGCAATAATCACAGTAATCGTAATATTTTTTTCCCCCAATAGCTGATGGTGTTCATTTGTCAACACTCCATAAAAGTATTAACCTCTTCAATTTTACTTTGAATGGTTTGTCCAACATATACAAATGGCCACTACTGGATTACTCACTGACATCAATTTCAATCCATATAAATAGATTCGGGATTCATGCATTGGGTTGGGCATGTTAGGCATCAGATTTATCATATTTCCCATATCGGACTACTTAAGCATGGCTATATATCAAAATTTTATATTTTGTTTTACTTCCTACTAACCAATTTATATTTTTAGATGATATAGGAGTGATTAACATGGGCACTTACTCATTCTGAATCAACCATGTTATGCAAGAAACATAATAAAAGAGAGTAATTTGGATACACTTCCTAGGTGTATGTCAAACGAAATATGTTACAGATGCCATATTGCTATCCACCAATACAAAAGTAGTATTTTTTTTCTTTTCTTTTCTTTTCTTTTTTTTTTTTTTTTTTTTTTCTCCCAATACAAAAGTAGTTAACATGTTCAGAATGGTCTGTGCAACATAATATAGGGTTTGACTATTACCTTACCCTCATGACTTCCCAATTCCCATATACCATGCTGGATTCCCATTTATTTCAAATACTTCTGATTTTAAACAGTCAATTCAAGGTACTAGCTTATGATTTATACGACTGCATTACCAACTTTGTTCCAGTTCATTTATGCTTAGGTACTCTCTTGTTGAGCCTGCATATATCATGTTTGAAATGTTATTCACAAAAAAATTCCATTCAACAGATATAAAGCTGTGCTGAATTTCAGCCAGTATTACAGCATCATAGATCCATAACCAATCTTTGAGAGGAAAATTTAGTAATCAAGGCAAGTAAAATGACCCGCAACAGAAATAAGAAAACAGAAATCACTAACTACCAAGTAGACCCACAGGGAAAATGCAATACCAGGGGGAAAGACATTTCTGCACAGCCAACCACATAAGATCGCCCTGAGCCTACCGCCCCTTCTTCATAACCTCTCACGCTATTTGTCCCACCGATGGCAAATGCCTCATGGGGGGAGAAATTACCGATCACATGACCGCCAGACAGACTATTACAATAGAAACCAATGAATGTAAGAAAGACAAAAGAAAGAAAGGTTAAAAAGTAGCACAATTTAAGCAGAACTACATAAAAGGGAGAATTAGTATCAGGCTGCTCACAATCTTCAATACCTAAAAAGAAAACGAGCAGGACCTACTTCGAAACCCTTCCTTGAACGAGCATTCACTCTGTTGAAAAATAACCAATCTGGCAATACAGGAAGCCCCTGTTCCATGTTGAATACAAACTGCAAAAGTGATGGAGATTAGTGTCTATGATGGAGTGAACGAGATCTTTTGTCAGTAAAATTTGACAAGTGACAACTAACCATTGAAGACCCAGGATCACCAGAACCAGTATATACGCTCTCAAATTTAGCAAGCAACATATCGTCATGGTTATTGCCGCTGCAATGAAGTGAGAAGCAAATGTATCAGACCCGCAATGGCATGATTAACAAACTAAGAACTCTTGGAAGTTTAACATTATAAGTGTTTAATTGTTCAGCCTTCAGAGATGCATACCTTGCAGTAAGGGGGCTGTTGTAAGAATCCTTAATAATAGGAACCCCTTTATCATCACGAGCACCCGCATGCTGGAACAATTGGATCAATAGATGGAAATGGATGACAAGAAAGCATAAACAAAAATTATGGATGGTTAAAAACACAATTTTGTCATCAACAATAGTTAAATAAAAGGCATTGAATGAACTATAACACTTATCCAATTCTAGAGACGTTAGGTTTTTCGACACAGCAGTTCCCATATAGTTTGGTAAAGGATCCCACTCCAACATGCAAACCATGAATCACAAAAGTAACTATGACGAATGATGAGAAAATCAACAATCACTCTTTCAAGTTTAACGTTTTTCCACCAAAAACATCACTACGTGAGAAAGAGCTAGCCATGCCTTAAATAATTCGGTAAGGACCCCCCTGAAAGACTTTTTTCCCCTTCTTTTTTTCTTGTTTAGCTGAATGGCACCCATGGAAAACTAAAGGATCCTACTAAGCATATAGAATCATGAATTTAGTGAAGTACCTGAAAAATAAGTCCAGCCGTTCCACTCCACTTTGGCCTAAATGGACGACTGTATTCAATGCCAGCTGTTACCCGGCCAATAGTAAGGCTACTATTGCCATGTTGGTTTCCATGAACAAGCGTGCCAGGCGTTCTTGAATTCTATCAATAAAGAAGCAAATTAATATTTATCAGCTTCTCATCATTAAAACTCAAAGTACACATGTATAAGAAAATCACAAATTACCTGAATCATGATAGATCTTGATGTCCGCTTATCATCTCCTTCAATCCATGGGTCTGTGTAGTTTATTCGAAATATTGAGTCAATTTGCCCTCTCTCTAATGAAACATTAAATTTTTGGTTTCTCCCAAAAACATTCCTATGAGAATATGCAAAGCTGCAACCGAAGTATAAGGATACATGAGAACATTATATAGTCTATAGTCATGGTAGGAAAAAGAGATCTAATAATGAAACAACTAAATTGAAGAAACAGCCCACTAATTTACACCTATGTTAGATGGACTTAGGTGTGTGTCCAAGTGTTGGTCCTCCCTAAAATCCCAAAGTTGAAGGACACAGAATTAAACTCGAAATGAGCCCAAAAAGTCCAGGTATGGGTAAGCAAACACGTCCAAACGCTAAATATGTTGTACATTAGTGTAATATACAAGATTATTATTATTCGAAGATACATAAAATTAGGTCATAAATTAAATAATGTGTGGTCAAGAAAGGGGATCCTCATAATTCTCAAAGTAGGAAATCCTTCTCCACTATCAAATTTTGAGGTGGTTCTTCCATCATCAAATGTAGAGGACCAGACTGTCCAATTTAGCTTCATGTGTTGGATGTGTATCAGAAGAAATATAATATAGAAGAAAGAGAAGAGAAATATGTAAAAGGTTTGAATGAGATATATAAATACTCATTCACAACTCTCATATTTATATACTAAAAAGAGCACATGTTAATATTACAATAAAGGAAACTAAATAAAATCATTGCATATTCTATGCCTAGACATATGTGTAAACAAAGTAAAATCCATTATTTGTGGCTATCATATCTCAGATAATATGGTAAGTCACATCCCATGATTTGCGCCTATCATATCTCGGCTAACACTCCCCCTCGAGTTGGTGTGTGGATGTCTGAGACACACAACTTGGACAATGCATCCTTAAACACGGTCTTGCTAACATGTGTAAATCTAATTAGGATACTTTTCTGTCAAATGAAGTGTCAATCAGCAAATCAAAGTCTCCTCAGACCATAAACATTCGACAATGTCTCCTCAGACCATAAACAACCAATCATGTCTCCTTAGACCATTTCTCCTCATACACATGTTTAAAACATGTAGATGGAAGAATCAACAATGTCTCCTCAGACCATTCCCCTTCATATATATGTTTAATCACTGTAGATGAAGGAATCAACAATGTCTCCTCAAACCATAAAAAGAAACAACTATGTCTCCTCAGACCATTCCCCTTCATACATATGTTTAAACAATGTAGATGAAAGAATCATAAAAAGAAACAATTATGTCTCCTAAGACTATTTCTGAATAGCCAAACTCACAACGCCCTCATTGGTCGGAACACCCTGCCTACTTGACACTTCCTCGATGGGCGATGTCACCTTAGACCATTCCCGAATGGGTGGTGCTGAACTCACAATGCCCTCATTGCAGTCGAACCACCTTGGCTCTGATACCAAGAAGAAATATAATATATAATAAAGAGAAGAGAAATATGTAAAAGGTTTGAATGAGATATATAAATACTCATTCACAACTTTCATATTTATATACTAAAAAGAGCAGATGTTAATATTACAATAAAGGAAACTAAATAAAATCATTGCATATTCTACGCCTAGACATATGCGTAAATAAAGTAAAATCCATTATTTGTGGCTATCATATCTCAGATAATATGGTAAGTCACATCCCATGATTTGCGCTAATCATATCTCGGCTAACAGTATCCTATACCATACCCATGTCTTTTCGTACCTACATCAGGTAAGTTGATGGAAAATAAGAGAATTCATAGAACACAACATTACACAAAGCATGTAACTGGCACGTGTTGGTAATTGAACATGTTTCAATTTACCGCATATGAAACTAAACAAGACTAATAAATCAACAGATAGCTCATAAATATAAATTTCAGAAATGTATAGATAGAAGCCAAGATAGCTCCTTCCACAGAAGAGAGAAGCCACAGCCTCTTCTCAAATAGTTCCATACTGGATACATATGTTGAGGGATCAAACTTATTAGACAAGCAATAGTTGATTTCGCCTGAACACCATCCTTGTCTGCATTACAACCCAATGATACAATTATGTTAAGATGTCATCAAGGGCAACAGGGACACAGTACAACTTCTCTGGTTAAGAACATTTAACTACCCTAGTTGAATACACATAACACTAATAGTGGTGTCAATCCACATCCAGATATATATATATATATATATATATATATATATATATTGATAATTAAGCAAATTCATTCAAAAAGCATTCCAAAGGGGAACGCGTCCTAGAAACAACAAAGGGATACTGTGGTCCCTAGGAAGAAATAAAATCATTCATCTCCTCCGGGGAGGAACAAAGCCTAACCGAACCCCAAAAACATAAAGATGTAATAAATGTTGACTTAAGAACAACAATCGAGGATTCCTTTCCTTCAAAGGATCTATTATTCCACTCCCTCCACAAACACCACCATAAACACAAGGGCGCCATCCTCCAAAACCCACGAGCATAACCTCCCACATAGCACCCTCTCTAAGCCTCCATCAATCCTCTCACAAATCTAGGCATTACCCACGAAACCCCAAACATTCCTAACAAAAGACACCAACAGTCCAAAGCCACAGGACAATGCAAAAGAAGATGATCCACCGATTCTCCATCGCACTTACACATACAGCACCAGTTAACTATGATTTGTCTTCGCCTCCTCAAATTGTCGAGCATCAAAATCTTGCCCCACACCACTGTCCAACTAAAGAACGCCACTTTGAGCGGCACCTTAGATCTCCACACTATTTTCCACGGAAACGTAATCCCTGTAGTATCTGAGAGGCATCGGAAAAATGATCTCACTTCAAACTTTCCCTGAGAAGCAAGCACCCAAACAAGCGAATCTCTCTCTCTGCTACGGGTCTCATGCTGATACAAACGATCTAACAATCCGCAAATGTCGTCCAACTCCCAATCCTGAAAAGCTCTCACAAACCGCACATCCCAAGTCAACCTCCCGCTATCAAGCCGATAACAGTCAGCAACCGAGGCATGCCTATCAACAGCAATCCTAAACAATCTGGGAAATGAACAAGCAAAGGTACAATCACCACACCAAAGATCCTCCTAAAACCACACGTCCCTACCATCCTGAACTCTGAATCTAATATGTTTAGAAAACTCATTCCATCCTTTCCTAAAGGATTTCCAAACGCCGACACCACCACGAGTCCTCACCAAACACGAGCCCCCCCCCCCCCCCCCCCCGCGGTTTCTTCCCCAAACCGGCACAAAATAACCCTCCTCCACAGCCTATGGCGTTCCACTCCAAATCTCCACAACCACTTGCCAAGGAGGCCCTGTTAAATGGTACCAACCTCTTATCCCTAGGCCTCCGGCCTGAATCGGCCTACAAACCTGCTCCCAACGAACAAGGTGATACTTATATTCTCCTTGTAAGACACCCCATAGAAAGTTCCTGTGAAGCCTCTCAATCGAAATAGCAACCACAGATGGAATCTGGAAGAGGGATAAAAAATATGTAGGGAGGCTTGAGACCTACCAACCTTTCGATAAGTACTGCTTCTTCCACCCTGTAAGTCTCCTCTGAACCCTCTCAACCACCGGATCCCAAACACCCATAGTCCTTGAAGAAACTCCCAAAGGTAGCCCCAAGTATGTAATCGGAAAACTACTGATTCCACAACCAAGCACATAAGCTAACTTACCAATATTCTGCACCTCCCCCATTGGAACCAAGGCACTCTTCCCTACATTCACTTTCAAGCCTGAAACAGCCTAAAAACAAATTAGCACTGATCTCAGGTACCTCATCTGGGACACCTCAGCCTCACAAAACACCAAAGTGTCATCCGCAAACAATAAGTGAGATATCTCCATATGATGAGCAACATCCCCAGCCACCATGATCCTCTTGATAAAAACCCAACTCCACCGCCCTCCCTATCAACCTACTAAGTCCACATCCAGATATTCCTTGTAAAAGAGAACACCGTAACCAAGAATCAAAATAATTAAACCTTACTGCAGCACTCAACAATTCGTAAGGAACTACATTAAAAATTAAAAAGATTCAAGTTATCGATTTAAATCAAAAGGACCAAAATCACCCCATTTCATAGCCTTTATAATTTAAGTGACTACCAACAATCACTTACAAGATAAAATACATATATATGGTTGAATATACACAGGTTTTAAAAATTGATACTCAAATGCTTCAAATGAGATAAAGAAAATGTTGACATTTTGATGGAGATCAATGGCGGAAATTTTTAAAGGTGTATAAAAGGCGCAAAATGGAGGATTTTAAGCCTCGAGCTAGCATAGGCTAGATAATATCGGTCCATATGGAGTTTGGAATAATTGGGAGATTCGGTTAAATTTTATTTACTTTAATTATGCTATTATGTAAGTATTGATTACCTAGAGTCAAATATTGATTACCTCAATTATGGGGTGATTACTTTTATTATGTTATAGAGTCAACTTTTGATTACTTTAATCATGGGGTACTCCAAGGTAATGAGCTACACTCACAGATTTTTTTTTTTTTTTTGATAAATAAAATGTATTGGAAAGCGTTCAAAAGGGGAACGCATCCCAAGAGATATACAAGAAACCAAACAAAACCCTATGGACCCAAAGAACCAAAAAAGTCCACAATCTCATCTAAAGATATACAATTTTTCCCCATCACCCAACTAAAAAGAGAACTAATAATAGCAAATTTCAGCGCCCCAATGGAGGTTTCCTCCCCATCAAAAGATCTTTTCTTTCGCTCTTTCTAGATGCTCCACCAAACACAAAGGGGGGTCACCCTCCAACAGACAGGAGCATGGCCCCCACCCTTTGGTCCCTCCAAATGTCAATCAATTCCCTTGAAGACCGAGGCATAACCCAATGGATGCCAAAAAAACCAAAAATAAGACTAGCAATCATAAGCCACAGGGCAATACAAGATATGGTGATCCACACACTCTATCATTCTTACACATACAATACAAGTTGACCGTGATTTGTCTTTTCTTTCTCAATTGTCCAGAGTCAGAATCTTACACAAAGCAGCAATCCAAACAAAAAATGCCACCCTGAGAGGAGGCTTCGAAT